TTACGCATTAAGTATTCCAGATTTGGGGTTTACCTTCCTGCTTACCTTCTTAGATTTTTGTACCAGAACAAAACTGTCAGCATCAGCGTTCCCTACTAAAGAGCATGTGTTGTGTTTTGGATACGAACCCAACCTGTAACAAAGGACAAATTGTGTATTTTTTTTAATTAATTGCAAGCCCAGATCTGAAGCTATGTATGACGAACTGACCGAAACCCAACGGTTAAATCCCCTTGAGTTCACTAGCATGGGCTAATGGTGCTCTGGTTTCCTTGCAAGGCTTCTTAACTAGCTTTACCAGCAAGACATCTTTAGTAAACCAACTTCAGAAGACCTATGCTGGTCGTCAGGTTTTGCTACAGAGCGGCATGGCTATGTTGACCATGAAAATTGTCGTAATTTGCTCATCCTCATGTTGTTCCAAACCCATATGCTGTTTTATTTATGCCAGAGAATTTTAAAACCCTAACCACATCGGTCAAGCTCCAGAAAGGGCAAAAAATATCATTAAAGCACCATAAGACTTATATTTCAATATATCTATAACTGTATATTTCCTTACAACTATATTTCAAGTATTCTGAAATCATATGACAGCTTTGTGATGAACAGATGAGAATTCATTATGAAAAGCCATTATTCTCTGAAAATCTTCCTCTTTTCCACAACTGTCAAATCATATATGGTGCCATAAATGGGGCATGGTTTTCATTTAAATTGCCATATGACTTATCTGAAGTCAAAAAATTAAGTTATCATAAAGTCATGAATTCAGATGTCTTGAAATAACATTTATGGAATTGTTGAAGCTCAACAGCTGTGGTTACTTTAAACTGTCCTTTTATCAAAATGTCTTGTTTTGTATCTTCAGTGGGGGAAAAAATTACAATATACGGACCCACTTTATATTAAGTGGCCTTAACAACTATGTACTTGCATTTAAATTAATAATTTGGTACAATGCACTTATTGTGTACATACATGTTTTTACATTGTACTTATATTTTAAAAATACCTGCATGTAATTACATCTGTAATTAATTTCTGTAATTACATTTATAATTACACTGTTGACCCATCCCTTACACATTAACCCACCCTTAAACCTACCCATAACAACAAACCTGTCCCTAACCTTACCCATATCCCAACTCAATAGCAGCAAAAGTGTTTTGCAATACAATATGAACACAATAAGTACATTGTACTTAATTTTTGATCTAAGTACATAGTAGTTAAGGCCACTTAATATAAAGTGGGACCGAATTATTCCTTGCCCCTGAAAGTAATGGTTATTTCAACCACAATATTTGAAAATGTTCAAATTTTTAAATATGAAAATGGCTTGTTTTTCACATTTTGTTAGATTTTCATAGTTTTAAAAATAGTAACTTCTAATTTTATGTTGGATTTTCATAGTTTGAAAGTCTGGTACTGAGACAAAAGCAAGCAAAGTCTATTTATGAAAAGCATTTAAAAAGTAAAGCAAAAATAAATATAAGTAAATGTTAAATGTGGTAAATGTTTCCATTTTCAATTGTAATGTGATCTTAATATTACAAAAATTAAGTTGATCATATAGTTTTAATAAAAATCTAATTGAAAAAACATCCATATATTGTATAATATCTCAATACCTTTTATACAGTTTCTCCTGATATTATGCTATCAGATTGGTGCATAATGCTTTTACTGAGCAGGCCCTGCTTCTTTAGAACAGAAATAGTTCCGTCAGGGGTTAAGCTGTAGAGAGCACTCCAAAGATCATTATTTGAGTCCTCATTGAGCACACCTGCTGGCATTAAACTACTCACTGCCGTAATGATAGGTTCAATTGAACCTCCAAACTCACCTCGAATCACTCAGGAAATAGACCCCATTCTGATGTTTTCTACCGTCAAACAAGGGAGACAAAAGCTGCTGCTCTTAATTCACATGTAAGCCTTTTACCGGTGTTGCTACAGCCTGCATTTAACTGACGGAGTGACTCAAGCTTTTGCTAGGGCTCATTTTTGGCTATATAATGGTGTCTGAAGATCCCTTCGAGTCCATTGTGACGAACGGGGGTACGTTATGATCATTTAGAGAAAAAACGGAAATGTCCCAGAGGGCTTTAATCTTTCTTCATTATTTCCCCATTATGGATAAATGCTCTCTGAGGGCCTCTTTCTGGTTATAAATGAAACACTTTGACTCCTTCTCCATCCCTCGTTCTCCCGCCTGCACACCTTTCACCCTTTGCTTTCATCTTTTACTTTGGGCGGCGGTGTGTATTCCACTTGCAGATAGAAGGATAATTAAGTTGATAAGCAGGGGTTGAATGGAGTTAAGTGTTAAGGGAGTGGGGAGAAGCTCTCTTCTCTATTACTGATGGTGTATTACCACATATGTATTGAACCTGATATATGAGTCACTGAATGTCATTTGATGATGGTACCTGTCAGAAAACAAGATCATAGGGATCAACAAAGCAGCTATTTGATGGGGTGGCATTGAAATGACCTCATAGGCCTTAATGAAACTGCTATTTTTTTTCCACAAAACTGCCAGTGTTTCCTATCATGCATATAATATGTATTCATGCATATAACATAGTCTGCTTTTACTCTGTGCTTGGTAAATAAAAACTATGATGTGTGACTATGATGAATAATTTTTAGAGTAATATTTACTAATACAAAGATCTGCAACCTTTTTCCAGTTAAATTGATAAATGTCAGTGCAGTTTTTATTAAAATACTGTTGCATTTTAAGTTTAGCCTATTATAGCATGCCTTTATGGTACTGTATTAATGTTTATATAATTTAATGCATTATTTATAGTCATATGCTTGCTTGTACTTGTAATGAGGATTCAGTGACGTTGGGATCCATGTGCAGCTTTATTAACAACCAGACAGGCAAAGTTCAATCAACAGTATACAGGGGTAACGTAGGCAAGGCAGAATCATAACCTGAGTCCATGCAAAGGGTCGAGGCAGGCGGCAGACAGAGAAGAGAGTAAATCCAATAACAATGCAAGGTCAAAGAGGCAGGCAGCGAATGATCAGACGGGTCTAGACAATCCAGGTAGGCAACAGGTAATCAAACAAGGTATAAACGCTCAGAAATGTCAGCAATAGCAAAAACAAGACTTCGCAACGAGGGTAAGGTAGGCACTGCTTAAATAGTCATGATAATGATAAGCACCTGTGCAGGTAATCAGTCTCAGGCATGGGGTGATGGGAAATGAAGTCCTTAAGAACAGTTAGTACTCCGGTGACGGTTCCCTCTGGTGGTGATCGGAGGGAGCCACAGAGGCTTGATTTGTGACA